CCTGGTTTGACGCAGTACAGCAGGAACTAGGTTTGTTTCTTTTTCTCCCTATTGTAACAGGAGTACTAAGCTGCACTTTCCCAACATTGCACCTATACCAGCATTCCAACCTCTTTCCCAGCTTTGATTCCATGTTAGGTTTCTGCTGGCATATTTGCATGAATATAAACGTCTTGGGCGGAGCTCTGTTGGGCAGATATCTGCTAGAGATAGGTATCTTCACGATTGGCACTCCGTTTGGGGCCGTTGGCAAGTAGTGACGATGATAACCCCAACGTCGTGCGAGCCATCTATTGTGTAAGGTGCGTTCCGTTGGGGGAGCTCAGGTAACTTAATGGCTGAATGGCTTATCACCTAGGAAGGTGGGCAAGCAGGCAAGGTGGGTTAATGGAGCTCGGTGGGACTCTCAACTTCCGACCCACTTTATCGCGGGGCAGATCGCCCACATTAGCGTCATCGATAGCCTGGAGTCCGACTGGCGGTCACAAGCGGCATAATAATTATGCCTGTGTTTACCGCTTTTAGCCAGCAAGGGAACAAAGCGTCGATTTGTTTTTGTCCTGTTCAATGTGACTCTTCCATCTTCCTCGTCAGGCACCGTCAGGCACGCACATCAACCTCGAAACCTGCCAATCCAAATTATTTCGAAATACGACCACGTCAACAAACCATGACAAACCTTCCACCAGACATTATCCAAGTTAAGCGCAAACGTGGCAAGGATGACGACCCCGTCGACTTCCTTCGACTCGAGGAAAGCAAACGATCCCGCTCGGGTGATGGCGGTTGGGTCTACCAGCGCAGGTCGGCAAATTATGTGCGTGCTAGCGACGCAGTTTCAGAACCCCCCAATTCGAAGATCCCAGTGATCAAGCCAACCCGGGAAGGCGATGGGGAGCGACTGGTCAGGCAACCGCGCACACGAACCAGGACTCCTGCCAGGAACGATGCGGCCACTCCAGAAGCTACCCCAGGCACCTCCAGCGCGGCGGAGAAGCCAGCGCCAACCAAGTTGGGCCATTCAAGTCGTCCGAGCACCGACCGCATACGTCGGTTCCACATGGCGAGATCTAACTCGCCCCAGCCGGCCGCTGGCGTGTCAAAGAGGCGCTCCGTACCTGCCGTGTTCGTCGAACGGGGCGCAAAGAAACAACGGGAGACATTGAAGGCAAGGATCCAGGAACACAATGTAACCCCAGCAGAGTCGCCCAGGCACTCGCCGCCCTTGGGACCCTCTCCCCCCCGAGACGAGAAGCGATCGCTCAGCCCAGTCAAGTATAAACGACCGGGCAACAAGGCTCGCACGCCTGCCCCCGATGATAAACCCAGGCTTCCCCCATCCATGCGTGAGCGCGAGAAGTCCGACGTAAACGAGCTTGCTCGCGTTATGGACAGCTGGACACTGGATGAGATTACGAAGAACATCAACAAGATGGAAGAACAGAGCACCAGATCCAAATCTAGCCCGGTAAAGTCGCGATTCAAGCCCAAGCCCCCCAAGCAGCGCTACTTTGAACGCCACCCCGAATCTGTAGTCCCAAAGCAACATCAGCCGCCGGCCAGCGCGACACCCATGGACGTGGACATCAGAGTAGCGGGAGACTCAACCGACGAGGAAGACTACGTATTGGAAACCTACGAGCGCGTTCCCGCGCAACGGCTACAGGAACGGGCAGTGCCGCCACATCTCGTCGGCGTCTTGATGTTTGATACTGAGCCCGATATGGTCAACTTCTTTTACGGCGACGAGGGCGACAGCGAGGACGATTTCCCAGAAGATGAAGATGACGAGAATGGTGAGTACCCAACCCCATTCGATCTCGGCTGGTGTTTCCAGACAGCTGACCGGCTCTGTAGCGGAAAACTATTACGCGGCAGACTATCCCGAAGAAGACCTCGACTGGGACGACGAGTTCAACCGGAACCCATATTCCTACACGAATTTGAACGACTCGGACAAGGAGGAATTCGACGAGTTGGATTACGAGGACGACAGTTTCGAGAATAATGACAAGGTTGGCGTTCCGCAGGTGCAGGCCCAAAAATGGCCCATCTGAAGAAGGAAGTCGTGGGGGGGGGGCGAGTGTATTATCATATGGGTGTTGGTCCAAGCAGCGCATCGGACACAACAAGGATTGATCACTTGGCGTTCATGGGATTGTCAAAGATAGAAGGATACCAAATGGCAAGGAGAATGCCAGGATAGATAAAAGATATCTTGAAACCGAACCTTACAAGGGAAAGGAAGGGATGGAACTTATGCAAGGTTCATCATCATCTTGTGTAAATCAAAGGTCAGATCTGGCTGGTTACCAAGTCTTAGATCGCACACACTATTCGCAAAAATACAATAACTATCCGGTGACTCGGATATATCCCAAACACCTCATGAGAGTAAAGGCAATTTTCCTCCGCCCAAGATCATCAAACATTACATCAACCGACTCATACCCACGGGCCAACCAAGCCATTACCGGGAGGAGGAATAAGAAGAGCAAAACAGACTGCGCCTCCCAAAATGCCGCCTTGCTGGCGGCCGACCGCCGCCCCATTGTGATATAGTGAAATGATATAGGGAAAAGATACATCGAAAAAGGAAATCTGACAGATATGTCAACGGGGGTATAGACTGGGTTCCATTATATCCGTGGCTATGGGGAAACAGCGCCAGCATTGGTAAAATGAACATCGTGAGACATGTACGTGGAGTAACCACATGGAAAAGGCGTATAAACGCAGATAACCGAGCATACAGTGAGAGACGTGAAACGAAGAATAAATAAAGAAGACGGGGGGGAGGGGCGGTTGGGAGATCAACAGCGCATCACCACCCGCTGGTGAGACCTCGTCGCCCGAGCAGCGAGCCATTCCTCTCGTTGCCGGTGCCGGTTCTCAGCTACAACCCATTAGCGACCGACCATACAAAAAAGATAAGATATACCAGGTCACGGTAGACAAATTACTCACCAAGAACCCTCGCCTCGGCACGGTGCTCGGGCCGAACCCAATCATTGCGCTCATCAACCAGCTCCTCGGGGAACCGCTCCATCAACGGAAAGCGCGCCTTGCTACACTTGACCTGGCGGGTGCGGTAGGCCACGCCGCGGTACATCTTGTACCACTCCCTTTTAGCATCCCCTTCCTCTCCCTCCTCCGCCCCATCCTTATCCCCACCCATCGTCTCGCCGGCCATCTCCCCGCCCACCTCCGACCGGACCACACCAGCCGCACCCGGCGAACCCGGCGGCGTAAGCATCTCCCCCCCAGCACCACCGCCACCCTCACCACCCGCAATCTCGGCCAAATCCACCAACACCAACCCGCCATCGGGCGCCACCACAGGCAGATGGGCGTTGGTGCGGTAGTAGGCGCATTCCAGGCCGCTGACGCTGCGGGGGATGGCGGGCCAGCGGGCCATGTAGGCGCGGCAGACCTCGGACCACGGCAGGTCGAGGTCGACGCGGTGGTAGACGAAGAAGGCTTCCTGCTCAAAGGTGTAGGGTTGGTTGTTGCGCTTGCTTGTTTTTGCGGGTTCGTTGTTGTTCTCGGGTTTAGGAGTGGTGGTGGTGGTGGGTTTAGTTTTGCGTCGTGGTGGTGGCTTTGTCCCGCCCCTTCCGTTGGGCGGAGTTGGGATATGGCTGGTTGGGGTGCTGGGGGTCTTGGAATGATCGTCGGGGTTGGAGTCTGAGGAGGAACTGCGGCGGAGGCGGGCAAGGTCCTTGGTGCTGCGCCTTTGCCGGTCACAGTCGGGGCTGGCACGGCGGTGGCGGAAGGGGGTGCGTGTTGGAACCGAGTAGGAGCGGGGTGTTTTGTCGATACCCGCGCTGATGCAGTCGCTTGATGCTCGCCGCGGGCCGAGAGCTGGGGAAGGGGGTATGTAACCCGGGTAATGGCCTGACACGGACTGTGCACGGGGAGGGAGCGTCGACCAGCTTGGATAAGGGGCGGAGAAGAGGGACGGGGAGGCCCCGACGGGAGATGGAAGTGGTGGGGGGGGGAAACTCGGGTAATGCTGGTGCTGCGTGGGCGGCGGCAGAAGGTCCCCGAGAAGAGTCGAGATGGGAGGGAGGCGTTGGTCAATGTAGATGCCCAGAGAGTCGCCTGGCCCAAAGTCGTGGTGGATCCGGGGCAACCTTGAGTGTCCCACGGGGGAAAGCCTTTGTTCATCGGCCTGCCTAATGGCAAGGCGAGAGAGGGTGCGAGAAACCATGGTAGAACAAATATGATAGGGTTTGAAGAAATAGTCTTATATTGGAGTGATAGCCAGGAAAAATATACAATGGCCTGCCGTCAGATCTGAACGAGTGACAGGATCTGAAATATCAAAGAGCTGGGGGGATGTGGAAGCCCTCTAGAGACCCACCGGGGAACTCGCAAGCTTCTATATACTTACAGAAACTCAGGAACCGGGACGAGAAGCTGCAGACTGATCCTCGCGATGCGAGTGTCTCTGAGATGGCGGCTTCGCGCTGATGGAGATCCTCACTGCATCCGTAGCGTGCAGTAGCGCTATCGACGATGGGGTGGCAGCTCCAGATGTCCTAAACACAACCAGCCAATCTCTAAGCCCGAACGAGGTGCCATGGTGGGGGGTGAAGGGATCGAGGATCCTCCGCCGGCGGCCGACAAGGAGATGGGTTGGTCTTGGTATGGCCAGTCCCGATCTGAAATTGGCGAGTCATTATCGTACACCCAAGCCTCGTCGAGCGGCTCAGGCTGTGGACGGCAGTGGCCCGCCAGGGAGGGCATCTGAATCCCTGCTTCTCCACTTTCCCCAGTTCCCCAAACGGGTCTCAGAGGTCTCAGATCGCCTGTAGTACAAAGGGTCGATCAACATGCGATGTGGCTTGGGTGAATCTCTCCGAGACCGAAGAACCCCTGTTGTATCAGCCGCAAGTTGATGCATCCCAGATCTCGCACTTGCTACCGGTGTGGATGCCAACGCGGTGGCGTGGACGGAACTCGGCTTCAACGCAGGCCACTATCACAATCCCGGATGGGGGTCAACCCTCCTAAGGGGTCGTGAAACGTCAGCCATGTATAAAAAAGAAACTTGAGGAGAGTACATCGAGCCAGTCAATGCTTCGAAAACACCGCACTGGATGATTCTCCTGGAAAGGTGACAGTGTTATCACAATGTCCCCTTCACGGCCACAGAGTGACCTCGAGGGGGCCTACGAAATAGGGGCCGCAGCTTGGCCCTCGACCGAGACGCCAGGCGGAAGCAAGCCGCGGAGCAGTGTTGGTCTCCCCGCAGCTGGAGCAGCGTTGCCCCCGGCACGCGGAGTGTACCCCGAGGCCCAACAGGTAACTAAAGTACTGAAATAGCATTCACAGCTGGATATTCCCTGAGAGAATCAGTGTTTGATCCCGCTAGCTAAACGGCGATCTACGGCACCACCAGCCAAAGGCTTGAGGCTCGTTATCGTCGAGTTGTAACCACCCAGAAGGTCCGGCTCACCTCATAAAATGTTGCAATTCCGTTGTCGAAACTTTCTTGTAGAACGCTAAAACAACAAAACCAAACAAAACTTTCCACGATGATGCCAAGGCGAGGAGGAGAAACCCGGTGAGCAGGTCCAAAAGTGGGCAAGTAAAGCAGCCATTGAGCGTGGCAGGTAACGGTACCTTCAATGCCTTGAACAAGACCAAATGCGACGCCTGGTGAATTGGACATACTCGCAGCCTGGCGAGTCTGAGCACTCCTGTAACCACTGCAGGGAAGAGTTGGCTTGAGAAAATGATGTGTGTGTCAAGGTAAAGTCCAAGCAGGACCAGGGGTGTGATCGGTGGGTCGAACAGCGATGCCGCAGCCAGTCAGCGTGGCAGACTAGCTGTCAATGCCGGCCCGATCCGGAAGCCGCGCGATCGTCAGCCGAAGCATCTTGCATGACATGAACGAATCAAACAGCCCGGCCATTTGTCGAGAACAGTCCTCGTCCGATGTCAATTAGCTCGCCGCCATTCTCAAACCTCACAAAGTTTCCTGGTCGAAAAGGGAAGCCGTTGGTACCACTCGGGCCGACCGGGATAGGTATCGGCCAGATGGAAGGAGCGAGCAAAATCTGCTCGCTCTTGCTTAGCCTTGACCTGTTCTTTCCCCCTGACCAACTTTCCACCAGGTGTGGAAAGCGAGATCCTGAATACACTGCTTGGGCCCCGGAAGGTGCCGCCTTGCAGCTCTCTTCCTTGATCACAGGGCAAAAAAAGCGGGACTCGATTTGGAAATCTGATACATCACTTTTTTCTCTCCGCTAGTCTCTCGCTCGAGGCAGACTCGGGACGAACTCTGCCCTCATAACCATGGCGCGGCAATCCGGAATGTCACGCCAGGCCGCAGACAGTGCCACCGCCATATTTAGCACATTCTGCAAGCAGCCGGATGAGAGATCGACGCCCGAGTGCGGCCACATCCAACAAGACCCCATGTTGCCATGCTAGATCCCGAATTTGATGCTCTCTGGAACCACAAGCGGTCCGCACCAACAAGCGAGGAGAATCCATCTCTCTGACACCACCAAGGGATGACATGGCTGTCTGTGCGTCGAATATCGCAATCGCGGCCTCGGGCTTAAACATCCGGGAATGAGTACACAGTATATCCTCGAGAACAAATCGACAACACCACACCGTGCTTCCAGCAAGGCTAAAGCTTGCTCAGGGAACTCTCCGCTCGCTTTCCAAGCTCCTTGGTCCTGCCATCCGAGGCAGCTCCCAATCGCGTTGTGGTATCCAGCATGCTCTGGCCTGTCGCCATGTCTTTGAACGACTCGTCCCCCGAAAATCGCCTGCATCCCGCATCAGCTCGGTTCAATAAAAGAGGGGAACTCTCGAGTTACTCACCATCCTCGCTCTTCGCCGAGAGAGAGATGGGCACAATCGCTATTCAGTTCGCAGTCCCAGCCCCCCGATACCCCTCGGCCCCCTCTCCAGTCCATTGCTGTGCCACCCTTGCCGTGATGATCAGCATCGCGTGCAGCTGTGGGTTCCCCTGCGGGCTCATCCATCCCCTCGGTTTTTAGGCCCTGTCGGCGGCGGCGTCGGTACGCGCTCAGTCCGCAAGTGAAGCATTGGAAATCATCGGTGTCGATACTGTCAGGCATTTGGCCAGTCAAGACACGTCCTAGCGCAATGATAACGGCGGCGTGTGAGCATAGCAGGATTGCACGCACACCGTCTCGATCACACTGGGCAATCAGCGCCTCCATGGTCGCCGCCACGCGGCCATGTAGCTCATCAATAGCCTCGCCCATGCGGCTCGGCGTCACCGTCGGCCCATAGTCCAGATCTAGGAGACCCGGGAAGAGCGGATCGAGCTTCCCGAGACTCGCGGGAACTGGGTGCTCGAAGTCGGCCGAGCCGTACCACTCGCCCAGCCCAGTCTCACCCCGGATTTTCAAGGCGGGCTTACCTCTAGCCGTTTTTGATGCTTCTTCCTGCGTCTGGCGGACGAAGGGCTGGACAGTTTGAAGGCACCGGTAATACAGGCTCGAATAAACTCGCTCAATAGGCGGGTCCACTGCCAGCAACCTTACGGCGAGCTCATTCGCCTGGTCAACACCGTGTGCGGTCAGCGCCGGATCAGCCGCCCCGCCGGTGGGGGACTTGATGAACGTCGTGTAGTTACCGTTTGACGGGTCGACCAGCCAGTTGGATCGAAACTAACTAGATCAGCCATCGTTACCGCAACAGAAGCACAATTTCAGGCTTGACGGTTTGGGAAAACGAGTTCAAAAGCGGTCGCTGCCCTCCCTAGATTCATAGGGAGGTCGAAACATGCGAACCACACGAGCACAAACTCTCCGGCCTGAAACAAAACAAGACGCATTAAGCCGTGAGAGCCACAGATAAGATGAGGAACTTACCCCATGGCGGGTAACGTAGATCACCTCCAGCATGGCTGCCGCAGGGCCAGTGGATGCAGGCTCAGACTCCCCGTTTCTTATTGCTGGTTGCTTGGGAAGAGTTGCGACTGGATAATACTCGCGGGATTAGTCCCGACCCGATCATTGCGACTGTTGTGTGAAAGTCGTCGACGACGATGCGTGGGACGACCTCAGCTCGGCAGGATTTGGGCTTGCGAGACATACATGCGAGGTACATGCATGCCAGATGCGAACGGATACAATGCGGACGAAACGAGTGCGGATGCAAATGCAAATGCAGGTCCTCCGTGTCGCCGAGTTCCTTTCTCCTTTAGGACTCGTAAGGTTTGTTGATAAGTGCCCCTCGCTCTCCCTGGCGTCGGGCTCGGCTCCCTTTGGGAGGGTTCAGGTGGCCGACTCCGAATCGAGCTGTCCCCTTCGGGGTTAGTGATGCGGCCGGATCAGATCTGACTTCCCAAGCAAGCTTTCCAAGGCGTTTTCCTGCGGTTGGTTTGGTCCGAGTCGCCCAGATCTGGTGGTGTAGTGGTATGTAAGTCGACCGATTGGGAATTACCGATGACCCGATCTCTACGTCAGACCGTCGAGTCTGAAGAGGTCCTGCGAGGGGTGAAGCGTATGTGTAAACGTGCGAAATCTTCTCGATGCAGGATGCCAGAACGGGACTGATGTGACTCGGACAGCGCCTTCGATTCGTCGGTTGAGATCTAGGTGAACCTCATCAAACAGGACGGGTCTCGCTTTTCCAGGAGAATGGTCGTCAACGGTGGTTGCCGAGAGGGATTTGTGGAGGGCAGGGGCCTTGGAAGGCCAATTTGGGACGGCCAACTTTGGTTTTAGTGGTAGGGGAAGTTGATAGTGACAGGATGCCGGGAGACAAAGAAGGTGGTTCCGCCGCGTGTGAGTGAAACTGGCCCTCGGGATGGGATCAGCAAACGGCGGGGAACCGAGGCTCCAGTTCGGCTGCTATAACCCTAACCCCTGTTTGGCCCTGCCCCTTTTGTGAGGAAACGACTCCTGGTGTAAGTCGACCCGGACACCATGCTTGCAGACCAGATATGAGTTACGTAAGTGGATTTCGAGCATATAATATCTAGTCTCACAGGGCCTATTTCACGGGATTTGAAGGGTCCTCTAACTTTTAATCTAACCTGATGCAAATGAACATCTAAGTCGCCGTTGGGTATATAAGCGATGATGGCACCGGTCGATGGTACCGGGCAGTGGCACACTCAACACCTAGGTAGCAGTGACAGCAATAACTAGGTAGAAAGGTAGCAATAATCTTTATAAACCTCTCCATCAAAGTACCCATCTAGCCCCAAACCTCCCAAAAGAAAACTACCGCTGCCTCAACTCGCTCTCATGCCCCACCCAAAAGTTCCTACACTCGCGATGCCCCCAAAACTCGACCCACCACTCCCCAAAACTATCCTCCACCTCGCCATCCACCTTGGCCACCCGCTCGTCCCGCCGCAGGCCACACACCACGCACGCCCTCGGCGCCGTCGGCACCCCTTTCGCCGTGCTCACCGCCAGCCCCATCGCCACCTCGGGCACCCGCAGCCCTTCCCTCAACGACTCATCCCCACTACTACCGCCCTGCTGAGCGGCAGCGGCGGCGGCGGCTGCTGCTGCTGCTGCTGCTACCACAGCCCGCACCCGCCCCACCTGCCCCTTCCACGCCGCCACCACCTCGGCCGCCTCCCGCTCGTCGTGCGCCGCGCGCGCCTTGTCCACCCCGGCCAGCTTCATCCCCCGCTGCGCCTTCCCAGGGCCGCCACCACCACCCGCGGGGGCGGCGGAGATGGACATGCCCTGGGCCGAGGAACTTGTCGCGGAGCCAGCGCAGCTTGCGGCCTGTTGACGAGGCGGGCGGCGACGCGGGCGAGGGCGAGGTAGCCGCGCAGGAAGGTGAGGGTGGCGGGGGAGGTGAGGATGTGGCGGTGGGAGGGGGAGGAAGCGGGGAGGGTGGAGAGGGGTTGGAGGAGGGCCTTGGTGGGGAGGGTGAGGAGGGCGGGGAAGAGGGAGAGCAGGATGGAGGGGGGCGGGATGTTGGTTGGTGGGGGGCCGGCAGGGGAGGAGGAGGGGGGGTCTGGGAGGGGGGATTGGAGGGTTGCTTGGGGGGGTTGGGAGGGGTTGGGAGGTGGTGGTGGTGGTGGTAGTGGTAGTGATTGTTGATTTGGGTTTGGTTGGTTGGTTTAGCTTGTGGATGTGGTTGTAGTCGTATCAGGGGCGGGTTTGGTCGTCCGGCCCACCCCAGTCTTGCCATTCCCACTCTGGGGCTACGGCTACCTCTGCGGGGTGGTTTCGGTGTAGGTTTAGTTTTAGATGCCGGCTTCGGATTCGGCTTTGTAGTGGTGGGTTTGGAATCCGGGAGGTTTTCGAACTCTTCCCAGTTGCTGCCGCAATCGTCATCCTCGACAGCGGACCAAGCGGCTGCGGAGGGACGGTGACGCGGCATCAGACTCTTGCACCGTCTTTGCCAGGGTCGGCGGCTTCACTTCAAGCTGCTTTACCGGCTCGGGCTTCCGATGATGGAAGGATCCGTAAGGGGATTTGGGCGCCTTTGGATAGGATGCTTCATTTGCTTTAGGAGCCACATTTGATAGAGTCAACCCCGGAGGCTGTTTCTTGGCTGGCACTGCTGCTGGTGGCACCGGGCCGGAGTCTAGCAATAAGAGATCGAGAGCGGACGACGGTGGTGCGGTCTGCGGCGGCACCGTTGTGGCGGGGGTCCCCGTCTCAAAATCGCCAAAATCATCGTCGTCTTCGGCGCCGTGTTCCGCCTCAAAATCGGCATCAAAAAGGACGTTCGGGTCGGGGTTGCGCACCGATTTCTGCGGCTGCTGTGTCTTGCCGCTGCTCTCCCACGATGCCCGCTGCTCAAATGGGTCCGGGGCAGATGAATCCAGATTTAAATCCACAAGTTTGTTGGACATGATATCGATGGTCGACATCCTGGTGACCTGCGCCCGGGGCGGGTTGGAGGCCATGGCTGGCACAAGAGGCGGAGGAGGTGGGCTGGTCGGGGCGACCTCGAAATCTCCCCAGCCGTCATCGTCCTCTTCGGCCTGTACCGGCGCTTGGGGTGCTGGAGGTGCTGTTGCTTGATTCTGGAAGCCCCCTAGGCCTCCTAAACTACCGATATCACCCCACACACTGCTCGTCTGGGGTTGGCTGACGGGCGAAGTGAGCCATGACTCGGACTGGCCTGTGGTAGTCTGTTGAAATGGTGGCCATTGTGAAGTGGTCTGCTGTGTATTTTGAGACGGAAAAGTAGATGCAGTCGAACTGATGAAAGAGAATGGATCGCTTGTAACCGGGGCGGCAGCAGTTGAAGGTTTGGATATGCCCTGTGTTGAGGCCTGCTGAGTTCGCTGAGCATCTGTTGTTTCTGTGCATCCCCAAACAGGGCAAAAAGGTCGGCCGACATGTTGAGTTTTTATGAATCTTCCGGGCTCGCACACCCAACCACAAGCAGGGCATAAGAACATGACGACCAAGTGCTGACGATGTTGATGTGGAAGCAGTCGGAGGGTTGGAACAGGGCTGAGGTTGGGCTTGTCAAGGGCACAAGAGGGTTTGCGTGGTGGGTTCGGTGGGGCAATTTCCATAACAGCTGCAGGTGACCAGTCCATATTGTTTCGTTAGCCCTCAAGGAGCCTGGAGGGGCGTCGCAACACCAATACGAAAGAACGAAGTCGGAACTTTAGCTAATGTAGGTAGAAGATAAAGGCCAATCTAGAGTAAGATGGTTTCACTTTTCTTTGATTTCTCTTATCTCTAGGATTTATTCGAGAAACATGACCTATAAACAAATCAAGATGACAAATCGATACGGGGTAATGGAATGGAAGCTAAGAGCTGAAGTTGATGTCCCGCCTTTGCCGGCTCTTGCTTCCCTAGAACCTATTGCTGCATTGCTTGGTAAATGGAAGGACTGGTCGAAAGAAGCAGGGAGCTCCTTCCGATATCCAAACAGCAGCAAGAACGGGACTTCCATATGGGGCATGCTGCTTCGAGACTGCCTGCCGACGAGCTAGAACCACCGCCAAGGCACTTCTCCGTGACATACTTAGATATTTTTGTACACATAAGTCGTTGTTGCCTATTCCTTAGTTGGTGATATGCAGTCTACTCTACGAAACGATCGTTCTATCTCGTAGTTGGAGGTTTGAAAGAATGCTGAATGATCGGGTGGTCAGGGCTGCTTGGAGCAATCAAACAAGGGGCTTGGGCAGGGGCGAACCACCCCGGTTCTCAGGCCACCGATTGGGCGGGAGGCCATTGTTGAAGCCCCACCTCTCGGCAGGTCTCCCACTGCAACCCACTGATGATAGGTGCCCTGATAGGTGCCCACGCAGGCGGGTTGCGAGAGTGTCATCGGCTTGGGCTGAACTGGGGGCGATTCGACAATTCAAACCCCGGATTCAGAAGGAAAAACACCCCGTCAATGCGCCCTGCCTAGTTTCGAGATCATCCCCGCAGACGATCTGAAGTTTTTAATCAGATGATATCCAGATGGGATATGGGATCCGCTCTAATTAACGACTAAATCACGTTATACTGTGCTGGGAATGAGTGTGCACACCATCATCGCACTATGAGATCCTTGACCGACACAAAGTGAGCCGACATTAACCCCTCCTCTCAACACCATGCCACCCTGATGAGAACAACCCGCTAACCCCCAACGCTATCCTAGATCACGGTGGGAGGAAACCTTTAGGGCGGGGTCTGGGATAGCCGATCTGCAACGGGCCGTCAAGTTCAACGGCCCCAACAGTCCATGCGCCGCCGGGTTGCGGTCTGTCTGCTGGAAGGCCTTCTTGCTGTGGAGGAATGCCCCCTCGGAGATGTGGCCTGAACTAGCCCGAGAAGCTCGTGCATCCTACAGCACCTTGTGTGACCAGCACTTGCGGTTCATCAGGCATCCCGAACAACTCACCGCCCTCACCATCGACCCCCTTGCCGACGACCCCGACTCACCATGGGACACGGTGCGCAAGGACGAGACCGTCCGGGCCGAGATCCTGCAGGATGTCTCCAGGCTCCCCGATGAGCCCTTCTACCATGAGGCCCCAGTCCAAACCATGATTCTGGATATCCTATTCATGTACTGCAAGCTCAACCCCAGCGTTGGCGGCTATCGCCAGGGTATGCATGAGTTGCTAGCCCCAATTGTATGGGTCGTGGCCCAGGACGCCGTCGACCGTGCGACTGCCATCACTCCCGATGATCCGGCCGAAGCCCTTATGGCCGAGATGCTGGACCCAGCGTTTGTCGAACATGATGCGTTCGCCCTTTTCTCCAAGGTCATGGAAAGTGCCAGTACGTTTTATGAGGTCGGCAGCGGGACCGAATTGGAAGCGCAGCAAAGAAACACCATTGTCGAAAGAAGCAAGTACATACACGAAGTCGCTCTGATGAAAATTGACGAGGAGCTCGCCGTCCACCTGCGGAATATTGAAGTGCTGCCCCAAATATTCCTCATGTGAGTGTTTGTTCCTTCTTCCAACTTCGACCTCCCGGGCTGACTCAACCATCCAGTCGGTGGATTCGGCTTTTATTTGGTAGAGAGTTTGAGTTTGGGGAACTATTGACCCTTTGGGACACGATATTTGCCTACGATCCTACGTTGGAGTTGATGGACCTCATATGTGTCGCCATGCTCCTCAGAATCCGATGGACCCGTAAGCGCCCCAGGTCACTCTAGAAACCCTCCGAAAGACTAACAGCAAGGCTCGCAGTACTCGAGGCGGACTATTCAGTGGCGCTACAATCAATGTTGAAATATCCGGCACCCCCCCCTCCACATGGCCCTCATACCTTTGTCGACGACGCCATGTACTTGAGAGACCACTTTGACGCCGCCGGTGGTGTTACTCTAATCTTCAAGTACACTGGTAAAAGCCCAGCCAATACATCCGTCACATCACCAACACCCTCGCGTGTCCCAACGCCGTCATTCCAAAAGTTCAACAGCCTGCGCCAACGGACACTGGGCGCGAGGGCACCACTGTCAACTTCGGCAAGGATCTTACAACAACCAGGTGGTGTCGAGGCATTATTACAGGGAGCCGCCAAAAACATGATAGAGCGGGGAGAGAAGCTCGGTATCAACCAGGCCGTGCGCGACGCAATGGGCGAGTTTCGCCGCAACGTCCAAGGGCTCCAAGAAACTCGGAGCACTCCAAACGGAGGCCGCAGTCTGTTTGGTGAAGCGGGACCACCAACCCCAGATCCTTCACTGGCAATCACCCTAATGGAAAGGCGGAACAGCCGGCTAGCCGCCATGCTAGATGAATCGGTCTCGAGCCTCAAACTGTTAGCGACTTCAGGCTTAGAAGGCGAAAAGGAGGAAACATATCGAAGCTGTCGAGATCGCTGCAGCCAAGGTCCAGTTCGTCAAAGCCTGCTTAGAAGATCCCACGCTTGCGCTCCCCGAGGAGGAACTCCCTCCTATCAATACGCTCGCCATATCGAGCCCTACCGAAGCTAGCGCACCAACGGTCGCCCTCGACACCACCCCCGTAGTCATGACCTCATCCGCCGTAGATGAGACGAGAACAGCACTATCGACACCAGAATCCGCCAAAGCCTCGATAGCCTCCCCCAAGAAAGAGCCACAACCCATGCCACCCGCAAAGCAACCCGACGAGATGGACACCGACGACCACGACGAAGAAGACACCCTCCCACCACTCAAATCCGAAATCACCCGCCCCCCATCCCGGCCGCTATCCCTCTCCTCCGCCTCCTCGCAAGTCATCCCCGACAGCCCCCCTCCACCCACCAACACCACCACCACCGCCGCCACCACCCAACCATCCACGCTCACTGGAACGGCCAAACGGCGCCTATCGACTCTCGGTCCTCCAGTGGACGGGCGAATGTCGCCCTGGGATGCTTTTAGTCCGACCCGCCCATGTATACCATAAGGGGGAGACTGACAGACGGAGTTGTGTTGGGATATTAGGGCTGCAGCTGCCCAACATCTCACGGGACCGATCGATGTACCAACACGGGGAACGTATCGCAACACCAGAAAGAAAGGCGCCTCCTCAACAGAGCTGTCACCCAAAACACTTTCCTTTGTAAGATGAGGCTAATTTGCT